TGTGTTTAATTGCCTTTGATGACAGTATTAAGCCCTGCAGTGGTGTAATGAGGGAAGAACAGAAATAAAGAACAGGGTCTCCATTCTTCTGGGTTTATTTTTATCTTTTAGAAGAAATAAAATGTACAATAAAAAGCAAGAATGTAATAAACACAGCATATAGCAAACTCTGTGAACTGGCTAGAAATTCTACTAATTTGATGGATCCAAAGAGCTAGTGAAAGTACCACAGTGTTTCTTTTACCCATTTGCTTCCGTCTTGTCTTTAGTCCCCAGTGTTTTATACATATGCATATATTCTAGAATTTCTGTGGCAACCAGCTCATAGAAACTCAAAAACATACTACCAGTCAAAACTGTTGACAAAAGCAATATTCTCTAAATGATTTAGCTGGTTCACTCGTTCAATTAATAAATGTTGATTAGCTTTCATTCTTTTAAGATCAATAATATTATATGCTTGAAGCAAACAATTAAGCCTTTTCTACCCCTTGAATAAATATCCCATATTTCAAAACACTATAGTGCAGAGCAAAATTTCGAAGACTGAGGGAAAAAGAAAGATTTTCATAGCAGCCATGAGCTATGGGACTACTGACACACAACTGTAGATATGTGGACTTCAGTTTTTTTTCATCAGAATAACGGAATAACAATTCCTGCCAATTGCGAGAATCTAACAGGATAATGTTCATGACAGAATTTTGTCAAGAAAAAAAAAACACCATAAAATAAATTTGAAAGGGAAAAACTTTCCTCTTCTTTTTGCATTTATAATATAAAGTATTGATTCTAAATGATCTACACCATCCAACAAAGTACCTACCTAAAATATTTTTTAAAAAATAAAAACATACATAGGACTCCAATTATTATAAACCACATCCCCTAGCTCAAGAAACATTTGATGGAATGTGTACAACAACACAGATTGGCTGGGTTGAAGTATTCCAATGGTTGAAGAAAAGACAATAGCATGACTCAAAATGTAAGAGGTGTAGATGATAAATGCTGTAGCACTTAAGTGTGTTGTGTCAAGGAAAACTGGTCAAGGACAAACCTCCTTTCAGCTTGAAGAAGACATCAGTTCTACACAAAAGCTTTCAGAGCTGCATTTTCTGAACAACAGTGACCTCAAGGGCCCTCAGAACAATGACTCATGCACCACTAAAGCAGGACACATCAGCTGGCATTCAGAACTGGGAACAAAGTATCTGAAAGCTTAAGCACTCTTCTTTATAATGTTCCAGTAAGCAGCATTTTGCTTTTACCTGTATATAGCCATGTGGCTCATTTTTTTAAACTATTGTTTTGTACTCTCCAGATTCAGTATTCATCTTGGGCAACAATGAACATTTTGTAATGGCATTAAATATCAAAATCAAAAGCCAAATGTCTTCTAAACCAAGCTTCCCTACCTACCACCAAGGGAGGCCAGTGTCTTACCCATCCTGGAGAACCTAAACTATTTTCTCATCCAAAGAAAAGGCCCCACTGGCCTCTGTTAATATTGTGAGGACTCAGTTCAGGAATTAGCAAAGCTTTGTATGCTATATCCCTCCTTTCCTTTTGCTCCCATTATTATGCTAGGAGTAGTCTACGTACAGGTGTGAAATATCCACATCCAAATTGACCCCACCCAGTCTCCTCCTCTTTCATAAGTGATCATATCTTTTCAGGCTATGGGAAAATGCTAGAACAGGGCCCACACTGGAAGTGCCCAATGAATTTCATACTTCTGTGGAGGCCAAATTCCCCAACTCCTTCATCAACCTTTCCTTATTCTTTTTTAATTATCTAAAATTCATAATGATTTGTTTGAAAGTCACCCAGAACAAAAATGGTCACTATCGCTGTGATATGAGATAATCCATTTAAACTCTGTGTGAGCCTCTGTTTCTTTATCCATAAAAAATATTATCTTTGAGATCATACTTCAGAGGTCATGTGTGCAATAATAACACCTCTCATAGGTACCAGGCTATATTAGCAACCTCACATATTATGATACATGAGCCTTGCCGTCCCCCTGTGGGTTGACAGAGTAGTTATTCCAACCTCCCATTTTATAGATGGGTGTTTCCAACACCCTCATCTCTAAGCCCCTTTCCTGTTTTCATGCACTGTGATGCTGTTTAACAGAAGAAGAGAAACTGAGGCACAGTTGGTGAACTTTTTCCATACCCATTCCATTCTCCTGAGCTGAATACTAAATAGTTTGGCTTCCAGAGTAAACAATGGGAATATCTTAAGAATAAGGGACACAGGGACATGGTCATTTCTTTTTTTCTTTCAAATGTTGAATTGGCACAATTGCAGTGTAAACAAACAACTAGGTAGCCAAGTTAAAGGAAAAAAGTATGAAAAATTTGCATATCCTGAAAATGCCAAATCTCAAAAGCAAAATGGTTTCTGTATTAAGCTTGTATCACCACAGTGATTTCTCGTATATTTTTACTTCAACCAATTTATTATATTTTTCCCTAAAATAGGACTAAAATAATTTTAACTAATGGCTTATTTTATATAAAACATATTTACTTACATAATTTAACTATAATCTATCATATGTTCCCCAAAATTTTGTTTTTATTTGCTACATACACACACACATTTTATAAAAAGCAATGTATAATATCAAATTACCTATTATATGGCACCTATATGTGTGATGCTATAAACAAATGCACATATACGTGTGCGTGTGTGTGTGTGTGTAGTTTTGTTTTCCAAAGGCATTCTCACTTACTCAAATTATTTAGAAGTTAATACTAAAGAGGGTTTGAGATGGCAAATATTGGAAATTCATTCATAAAAATGAAAACTTATAATTTCATTCATATATTACTTAAGAGCAAAAATATCATAAACCCCTAAAGAAACAAATGTCATATGGCATTCCTTGCATACAATTATTTTTATCCTATTCCGTCCCCAAGTAACGAAACACAGGGTTAGTATCATGAAATAGAAGTCAAAGTGATTAAATTGAATGATTATATCAATCCAGATGTTCCTTTTTGTGTGTGATAAGCTTGCTTGATAATAATCCCTTCACAAACCAACCTATATCTCAAGGGAATTTGGGGATTAAAACTTAATTTAAAACTTGGTTAAGAAATTCCTTGAACTCTTTAGAGAAAGAGTCTAAAGCAAATGCAAAGAAATTATCATTAAAGTCAGTCAAAGCAGTGCTTTGTATTTTTCTCCCTAAAGAACACAAACTTAAAATTCACAGAATTATTTTATTAGGCAAGAAACGGTTTATTTATTACATTTATAGTGAGTTGTTTTTATGTGTCTCTTTTTATGAAGTCATTATATATATTTGCCTCTTTGAAATAGTTTCTTATAATATTAAGCCAAGAACTGAGATATATGTGTATGTGTGTATATGTATATATATTTTTCACTCATTTATCTCAAGAAACAAGTATATCATTATTTTAAATATTAAAATAGCTGTGGTAATATTTCCATATATAAACTGGGAAACCATTCAACTTTATTATGTTATTTCAATGCTTGTTTCCATGGCAACTCCTTCACATCACACTGTTAGTAATCATAGACTCACAGTGTTGGAAGGGTTTGGAAAGCAGGTATTAGAATGCTCTTGTTGCTCATTTAGGAAACTGAGGACTAGATTTCAGATTTGTGACTTATCCACTGTCAGCCCAGTAGCTAGTGTCAGAGAAGGAATAAAAGATGGCTCTTCTGGCCCCCATTCTAGCATGCTTTCACCTATACTATGCTGCCAGCCACTCTTCTAAACTAATGGACACTATTTATACACGGACACACACATACACATGCAAACACACCCCATATATACACCATATGTATAAACATGAATATACTCAAGCAGTTTGTTTAATCAGGCTATTTTTAAGAGTCAAACTATACTTTTTATGGGTTTTCAGTATTACAAATGAAAATAATATCATTTTGGCATAACAATGACAAGATGACTTGTTGGCTATGGATGTAGAACACAAAAACAATTGCTTAAAAAGGGGAAAAATCAGTATTAAACAGTGATTTTGCCTTCTTAGTATCTCAAACTGCTTTACTAGCAATTTTTGTAATTCTACTGAAGGTGCCTATTGTTCAGGAATTCATAATTATAAATAATAAAGATTAAAAGATATAAAGAAATCTTTAGTAATGTCTAGGCAACTTACTTCATGGTTTCAATTTGCTAACCACTGTAAAAGAATAGAAAATACAAAACCCTATGATGAAAAGTAATTCTATGTAATCAAATTTGCATCTATAAATAACAGATTCTAGAGTTTAGATCAGTACTAACACATTAGCCCGTAGCCCTTTGTTAAGCCAATGAAATGTGGTTACTCCAAATTGAGATGTGCTGTACATGTGAAATACATAGCATATTTCAAAGACTTAGCCTCCAAAAAGGAATATAAAATATCTCATTTATACTGATTATTTGGTGAAATGGTATTTGCCTATCACTAAATAAAATACATTATTGAAATAAATGTGGTCTGTGTTTTACTTTTTACTCTTTTAATGTGGCTACTAGAAAATTTTAAATTACATTTGTGGCTTGCCATTGTGGTTCACATGATATTTCTCCTGCTCATTACTGATCTACACCATTTACATGCTAGCCTTCCTGTCTGAAATATCCCATTTCTCATTTCTTGAAGTCCAGAACCTGCCCTACATCATCAAACATGACCTGTCCTTGAATGTTTTTTGCCTCTGTCCTATCAGGAAGTAAGCGCTCTCCCTCTCTAAACTACTAAGATGCAAGTTCCTGGCAAATAAGGTCTATGTATGGTTTTTATATATGTTGGTAAGCTACAAAACAACCACCATGCAACTACAGTAAAGCATCAGTAAAATTTTGTTAGACAGGCAAACAAATATATGCAGTAAATGTATTCTCTGTTCACTTTCACTCAGAAAATCTGTCTTGAGAGATCAGAATTTTTGAAAGTAGGTCCATGACTTAATAAGAGGATACATACCAGCTGACTCTCGGATACTGTAGAGGATGGGGAGGACAGGTTTGCCTGAAAAATTAAAAACATGGTGTTTATTTAGTGAACTTCATAATTTCACAAAATATCCATATTTTTAAGTTTTTTGAAGTTCTTTTATTATTAAAGAACACATGTCCATTGTAGAATTTTGAAAAGAATAAGGTAAAAGGAAAAGTATCATTATGCCACGAGAAAATGTTGAACATTTTTTGTACATTGCCTTACAATATTTTTCCTATGTTTTCTTATGCAGCTCATATAATAGCATGATGTTTTATGTGTTACTTCTCCTTAACATCTTAACATAAGCATTATCACAAGACATCAAAAATTCTTCAAGATGACATAATATTTCAGTCTCTGTATATACTCCACATTTTGCTTAAACATACTAGCATTGGGGCGCCTGGGTGGCTCAGTCGGTTGAGCATCCGACTTCAGCTCAGGTCACGATCTCGCGGTCCGTGAGTTCGAGCCCCGCGTCGGGCTCTGGGCTGATGGCTCAGAGCCTGGAGCCTGCTTCCGATTCTGTGTCTCCCTCTCTCTCTGCCCCTCCCCCGTTCATGCTTTGTCTCTCTCTGTCTCAAAAATAAATAAATGTTAAAAAAAAATTTTTTTAAAATACTAGCATTGTTGGATATTTATATTTGTTTCCAGCAAATCGACACAAATAACAGATGTTCACTTAAAGTATCTTCATATACAAAGGAAAGTTTTCATGCTTTGGAAAAGAAAACAATTTAGTTTTTAAAATTGTTTTCCAGTAAATAGGAGGCTAATATTGTTTCTTCAGCCTTGGTTCCTGAATTTCACTCTGTCTGGATTTGGTTTCCGTCTTACGGAAGTAAATGCTGTGGTCATTCTTTCAGACCTCATTGTCTTGACTTTGTCTGAAAATGTTTCTATTTTGTTCTTATTCTTCGACGAGAGTTCTGGACACATTATTTTCGGTGAATAGTTATTATCTCGCAGCATTTTGAAGACACTACCCCACTAGCTCTGGCGTCTGTCATAGCTGTCATTCTAAATGTCATAACTTTGGTGGATCATCTGTCTTCACATTTGGTTAGTGTTTAAGATGTTCCTCCATGACATTCCGCAACTTCACTATGATGTATCTGAGGGTGGATTTCTTTTTACGTGTCTTTTTTGGGATTTGGTGTAGTCCTTCATTTGGAATATGCATATCCTTCAATTCTGGAAAATCTTCCATGAATACCTCTTCAAATATTGCTTTGCTTACATTATAGCTCATCTCTGTTTATGAAGTTTCTAATAAATATATATGTAGTCTGCTCAATCCATCCCCCATTTCTATAAAATTTCCTTTCATATATTTTGTCCCTTTATGCTGCATTCTGAATCCTTTCTACATACAAGTTTAACCGTTAACTAATTTCTCTTCCATTGTATATTAACACATTCAACATGACAATTGAATTTTATGTTTTGATGGCTTTATTTTAACTTCTGGAAGTTCTACTTGGTTCTTTTTCAAGTAATTTTGATGGCATCAATAACTCCTTTTAACTCTTTTAGCGTTTTTACTATAGCAATTAATTCATTTCAGATTTACCTATAATTCCTTATTGCTAAATCTCCCGTTTCTTGTATCGGCTGACTCTCCCTCATGCCTCTCCTCCGTGATGTTCTTTAGCCATTTTATGGCTATTTATTTTTGATTTTGAACTCATTTTCAGTCAAGATAATGTTTGTGATGATTTCTATATGTACCTGAGAAGTCCTGGACGGGGAAACCGTGCCTACAGTACATTTTATGTTTGTCTTGTGGGAACTCTAGGACTTTCACTGCTTTCCATTTTATTTCATCATCTTAATATTCCTAAACTTAAAGAGTGGTAGAACCTGAAATCTTCATGTTCCAGAAGTTTAGAACCATTTTCTCATTGATGGCTCTTTTACCAACTAAGAGTGTTGGATGAGATGGTGGAAGCATTTATACTTTTTTTTTTTTTATTCCATGCTTCATGGCCAAAGTGGACTTCTGGCATCCTGAATGTATACAAAGGATTCATTTACAAGTTTTAGACTTACTAAATACTGAAAGTTAAAATCTGAGCTCCTGGCTCCTAGCACATAGGTTCTGATGCGCCTACATTCTGCTAGAGCTTTAGCTTCTTCTTAACACCCCCACTTGGAGTTACCATTCCATTTCTGGCATTCAAACATTTCTCTTTCTTTACTTTAGATTGGGTTACATAAACTTGTTTTGTTTTTTTTTTTTAATTTGAGAGAGAGAGAGTATGAGTTGGGGAGAGGGGAAGAGGGAGGGAGAGAGAGAATCTTAAGCAGGTTCCACACTGAGCACAGACCCCACTGTGGGGCTCAATCCCATGACCCTGGGATCATGACTTGAGCCAAAATCAAGAGTTAGATGTTCAACAGACTGAGCCACCCAGGCACTCCACATAAACATTTTTAATAATTACATTTTATCAAGCATTTCAGCATTTAAATGGGAGGCTGAGCTTCCACATCAACAGCCTTCAACTTTGACAGGAAATAGTCAACATACAAATGCTTAATTACAAGTATACTTGGCTGAAATATGATAAAGTTGTGTTCCTAAGATATTTACATTCTTGTTGAAATTGCAAATGTTTTCAAGGTTTGTTAGAGGTGTGTCAATACTGTTTTTACTCTCTGAGATATGAATGATAACAGCAAACTGAGAGCTTAGTGATTCTTATGGTATTGCCAAGTATATAGAAGTATGAATCACCAAACATATTCACAAGGCACCTGCAGCCCTTCTCACCCTGTGCCCAGCATTGTTTGTTTTCTGCTTTTTCACTCATGCCTTTCTTCACAAGGACTATCATTGTTTGCTGTCATACATGGTTGGTCTATGGCAGCAGGGTATCTTGGCTAAATGTTTCCCATCTCTAATTGCTGGTGACCAGGCAAGTGTACACGGAGGTTTATGGCTATTCTGTGCTGCAGAAAACTGCATTTTAGAATGCCCATCAAATTCAGTTCACATGGGGATTTGCTTTTAACCTCACGATGCAATATAAGTAATAATTATTTCCTCTAAAGTCTTACTGTTTCCCTATAGCTAATTTTTCATTATTGCAATAATGAAAGAATAATCTATGGATCCCCTAAGTTAAATTAATAGCTCCTGTGAAATATGCTAAATTGAATGTGGGTATCTTGACTAAAGCACAACACAGCTAAATTTTCATCTCGATAAATATAGGAAAGAAGAGGTTACACGTTAAAAACAAAATATTTGTACAATTTAACTACATTCCTAACATTTAGTAGTATGTGGTGCTAAATAGTACCAAGTGATCATAGGGAAAAAATAAAATGCTCAAGAAAAACATTAATTAAATTAGGGGAAAACCCAAATATCTTTGTATTCAGTCTCCATAAGTCCCTCAAATTCCATCATTAGGAATTACAATGTTATAATAAGATGCTTTAGGCATCCCCATTCCATTTTTATTTTATCTAATATAATGGGTTTCACATCACTTTTATGAGAAACTATTCCTAGAGAAAGGATAGAATTAAATGTGAACCTCAGGGTGGAGTAAATACTTATAAAGCCACTAGAGATCCTTTATCCAAGAAAAAGAATATTGGCTTATGTGTTTAAAGAGTATCACCAGATTCTTTCAACCAACCTAACCATGTCAAGCCCTTTGAGAAGCCTTGCTTTGTTTTCCTAATACAGGTTAGCAGTGTTTATTCAATGCTGCATCTATAACTATGTTATTAATACTGTAGCAAATATTTTCCAAAAAGTGAGGAAAGATTGTCTGGTGAGCTGAGATTAGAGCAGTGAAAGGTGGGAGAAAGCAGCTCTATCCGAACCACTGTTCACAGGTTGGCTAAATGAAGGTAGAGAAGCAACTTGATGTACCTACAACTAAACTAGAAATTGTATTGGAACAACACTAAAGATTTTAGTTATTCATGTCTATCAACATTAATACTAACTGTGAGGAACTACGATACTGTGGAAGGTAAGAATGGCTGTTGTGCGAAATAAAATCCTATAATCTATTCTATGGCCTCTAACATCATTTTAACCATAAAAGGAAAGGAAAGTATAAGAAAGGAGGATCCATGTTAACCAATGTATCGTCATCTTAAAAACTGTGAAACCAACAGTCAAAAAAATGTGAAAGTCAAAATTTCTTACCTCAAAGAAAATGTATTAAAGAGTTAGATTACAAGGAAAGCAAAAGAGTTAGACAAAGAAAAGAAAGGAGAATTTGAAGTCCACTGAAAAATAAATTCCTACAGAAGGCCACCACTGTGCCAAGCCAACTTTGGAGAAACCATTTTGCTTTTCCAAAGACTTGATATCGAGGCCCAGTAAGTACAATGAAGCTCCTTTGTCAGTGTCTAGATTGCTTTTGCTTGCAATGTGCAGCTTTTCCCCATTCATGACACATGTCCTTTTGGCTGGTATCACACCAGCTCTCTCCCCGGGGTCTGGAACAAGATCAAGTGGTTCCACTTGCCTTTGCCTTCTGCACTCTAAACTTCCACTTTTGGCTTGTTGGGTTTTTTTGTTTGTTTATTTCTTTTCCCCCCCTTTCAGCAGCCACATCCCTCTCACCTGAATATAACAACCAGTTCAATATCACTAAAATGTCTTTCTTCTACCTTTTCTCTGTTGACTAATTAACCCGTATTTCCTTTTCTCATGGCTCAAAGAACTGTAATTAGTGATAATGTGTTAACTAAATACTTCTCCCAGGCAAGACTACTCTACACATGGGCAGTAGGACAAATTGTAAAATATTAACGGAGCACTTAATAATCACTGAATACTGAGATTGGTATTGAGGAAATATAAAATGATAAAATACTGTCTTTCCCTTCACCTAGCGAGTGTTCCTATTATTTGTACATAAGTCACGATGGACACAAAAGAATGAATCCAGTGGTATGCATGTTAGGCACCAAGCCCCTAGACATACATTATGAGGCATCATATCTTTCTTGCTTCACATTATTTATTCTAACTATCTATAGACATTACCCTG